TCTCTCTCTCTCTCTCTCTCTCTCTCTCGGTCGCTGTATGTCTATCCGTCTGCTTGCCCTTCTCTATCTCTATCTTTCTCTCCCCTTATCCCTTTCTACTTCCCTTTGTCTTCCTCTCTCCCTTCCTTTCGTGCACCCCCTTCGCCTTTTCTCCCGTCCACCCTCTTCATCAGACCTTGATTCTTGCACCTCTTCCATATTATAAATTCTGATGGCATTGTCGTTCTCATCCTTCAGCTCAAAGTCGGTAACATCAGAATGAGACGACTCTACACGAATAGTCCAACTAAAACAGAACAACCCTTAGGGGTGATACTGTACTGTATCTGAAATCCATGTGTATGAAAATAATCAGTTGGAATAGTATCCCCATAATCTTGAATTGTCTACCGACAATAGAATCTTAACGGTTCCGCCTATTTCCATTCTCAGTTAGGTTTGTTCCCACGAACTTCTGGAATCTCTAAATGGTTTTTCGCTGGCTACCCAGGCACACTGTTCTGTCTTTCGACTGTTTGAGCGTTGTTACAGTAGATAGCACTGACCTCGTGTTGTGACGGTTAGCTCCCAACTCTGTGCTCACCTTGTGCCGTCCCGCACGCGAACGACCAGCAAGACCGGACTACTCTTAGGTCATCCGCAACTATAGAAGTATATTCTTTTGGTGTTTTTGAGTGGGGTTTCTGTTACCTCGTGGAACAACCCCCTCATGCAATAAAGCCGTAAGTAGAACTGCAACGACAGAAAGAAAGCCCACCTCATAAATGGTCAAATCTGTGTATGCGGGGAGGATGTGGGGTGAAAAACGGTACATTTTTAAAAGTATCTGTAACAGGTCTCTTTAGGGTTGTGATTTAGTTGCCTGAATCCTCGTCTCATTGGCCCGGTCTGTCCTGCCGTGTCCGCCCCTCGGGAAATGTCCGCAGCTCATCAAACATTTAGCCGGGCCGACCCCCGTGCCGCGGCCAGGCGTGAGAGAGAAAGATATACGGCCCCTTGTGGCGCACGTTTCCCACCTTAGTCTCTTCTTTTTTGTGGTCATTACCTTTTTTTGCTTTATTTCCTAAAAGGGAAATTGAAAGAAAAA